TCCTCCGCCAGTCTACCCACCATTGCCACTTAGAGCACCACCTCGCCCACAACATTTCTGCATACCCTCTTTTCATCCTCAGGTACCTACTGCTCCTGACGACCCCGCAGCCGGCCCTAATGACCCAGATACCCCACCCGGCCCCCCTCCACCTGCGGCGATAGAAGCACCACATTCTTCGCCAGTGCAACCTTCTCCTATCCACAACCCTCCTTCTCCCTCTGCTTCTCCCACAGATCTCGTGCCTCCAGATAGAGTCGTCTCCCGCAGCGGCCGACTGATCCACACCCCTGCTCGTTTTGTCTCACATGTGAGATACAACCCTGCCGACAACAAGTCTTCCACAGCGCCCGGAGGGGAGGGGGAGTATTGTAGTGGATCTCTCCCCTATAACTAATCCGCATTCCAATGCGACAGTATCCTAGCAGGGGGGGGGGGGGTCACCAGCTGCTACGTCTACCCTAGCAACGGAGGTAAGAAACCGGTGAGTTCCCACGGGTTTACTTCCGGCTGCTGTGTATATAAGCTCGCAGTCTCTCCATTGAGATTCATTCTACCCTACGTAACTGAACATGCAACATCTCCTCTAACGAAGCTCCTGCACATCTACCTCCTTCAGCACGCTACTCACCGAACGTGTCTTCTGAGCAAGCTCCTCACCACACGGCATCTCCAGCACCAGACTGTCTTGTATATAATATATTTTATATAAGAAAACCACCACCTAGAGTTTCCATCCATCCATCCTGAGTGCTAGACAACATAACATCACGAAACCCTACAGTTCCATTTAATCTCCTTTATCTGTCTCTCGTACTTTTCCCTTATATTATTTATGCTTTTCCCTTATATTATTTATGCTTTTCCCTTATATTATTTATGCTTTTCCCTTCTTGTTGAATATGAATTTAAGCGAAAAACAAAATTCTGCGCGAGCTACGAACTACCAAGAATGGTGTAACTAAAATTGGCACCATGAAAGACTCTACAAAGACTAGGAACTTGTGAAGAGCAAATCAACATGAAGTCACGTCGATAACGAGGAAGACTGGACTGAATTTGATCTGATAGCTATTGCAAGCTTTTTGGTACGCATACGAATTCTGGTTCCATTCTAAAGAAAAAAAAATCTAATGCATATTTATTGTGGTGTGTTAGTCTATACATACGGCTAGAGAATATTCTTGAGACTTGTATTTCAAATCCAGCTACATTCTAGCCACAATTGAGCGACATTTTGAATTCAGGCTTGACAGTCCTGATTTGATAATCTGGCGAGGCCGCGTGACCCAGGAAGCAGAGAGTTAACTCCGGACAGGAGCTTAAATTAGAACAACCACAAGAGCAGTTCTAGCACACACATGTACTTACAATATTGTCACTGACACTGTTGGGTTTATATTCGGTTATTGGCTGTCCTCAGGTTTCCAATTTTCAATATTACAGACACAAAGACTCGGAAAAGTGAAGCATACGACTTCATATCATTTTTTGTGATAAGTGATCTCTCCCATAATTGCCTAGCTGTTACTCAGCGAATTTATGAAAACGACAGTGAAGCTTTCTAAATATTACAAGATCACGGTGTCCTTTGCCAACCAACATCAAGACTGTGTCCTCAATGTAGAAATCGTTTATTCCTCCACCACAGTAGCAGGTAAACTAAAAAAAACTGGGCTTAGTTGCTTAGTTGTATATATATATACTGTATATATATTGCAGGTTAGTTTTTTTTTTTTACTCAAGTCTGACCTCCATTTTTGTGCAAATTAGAGGTTTCTCTTACAAATTGAAATTATATTTTTTGGGGGCAAAAAACCGCTAATTTGCACACGGTTAGATTTGAGTAAAACACAATAAAACAACCCCCCACCCCCCCCTAAAAAAAAAATTCTCGTATCAAAATCCGAGTACAGCCAATGGACGAATGTTTACCCCCTGTTGTCCCCAACAAGGTTTGGTAAACGAGTAACGAGCGAGTGAGGCAGTCGGTATAGTTCGATAATTGTTTAGTGTGGTGGATGAAGACACCCGGACAGGAATGTCAACTGAGTTAGGCTCTCACCAACTGGTAATTGTAAGGAGGAACCATTATCCTCTTAGAGTACTCTAGCCATAAGGTTCACGAGTGTCTGAGCTAGAAGGCCATACTTAACTAGCTCTGTGCGGACAATAACACAGCTACCAGCACCACACTGCACACAGACGGTCACTCAACATTCTTACACCACCAATCTCAGCCAGAGAACTACAAGAGCCATACAAACACCACAATAACCCACACAGGAGCTGAACACGGAACACTATGGCAGCTGCCCTCTGTGATCCTGCTGACCAACAAATTTTCCTGAAATATTCAAGGATGAAGGCCACTGATACCTAAGTATGTGTAGGGTTATGGGTTATTGGTTCACACTCAGGATGGGATGGAGAAAGGAAACTCACTTGTGCTCACTGTATACATATTGTATTGGATGTACAATGCAGCTTGTTGCTGGGTAGGTAGCATGGTAATAAGAGTTGAGTAGAGAGAGCTGGGTGGTGAGGGTGCCCAGAGTGAGGACACGCGGCTTGAGGGACGCCAAGGTCGCTGGCGGGAGCGGCAGCCGCACGGCTGGCGCGGAGGAGGAGGTGTTGCTTGCTGGTGGCAATGTGTAGAAAGAGAGGGTGGTCACAGCGGTGCCAGGCCTTATAGGGCGGGGGTAGGCGTGGGTAGATAGTTGACCCCCGCTCCGTGGGCGGCACTGGAGGCGTAGGCTGGGGAATTCGAGAAGGTTCGGTGCTTGTAGGGGAGGAATTCACTACAATACTCCCCTTCCCCTCCGGGCGCGGCGGGAGGCTGGAGGTTGGCAGAGTTGCGTGCCACATGTGAGGCAGAACGGGCGGTGCATGCCACAAGTGGGACATAATGGCGAGGGCGTGGATGAGCCGGCCGCTAGGGGGGGGGGCAACTCTGTCTAGGTACACGAGATCTGTGGGAGAAAAGAGCGAGAAGGAGGGTTGTGGAGGCGATGAATGTTATGCTTCCCTCGCGACAGGTACAGAGTCCTCAGATGCGCCTACTGGGGTGTGTGGGCCTGGGTCAGGAGCAGGGGCTGCGTTAGGAAGAGTGTCCATGACAGCAGCAGGGTTCATGACAGCAGCAGGGTGCAGGACAGCAGCAGGGTGCAGGACAGTAGCAGGGAGTACCTGAGGTAGAAAAGAGGGGTGTGTGGGTCCATGTCAGGAGCAGGGGCCGCTTCAGGAGGAGCGGAAGGGGGTACTGCTGGGCCGGGGGCGGCGTCTGAGGCAGGACGGGTGTGTTGGGGTCGGTAGGACGTGGTGCTTGGGGCAGGAAGAGGAGCGGCTGTCTGCTTAGAGTAGCAGAGCTGCTCTAGGGTGTCTAACCTGCGGTGTAGAGACAGTAGCTGTAGAGCCGATGAGAGCTGCCTCTGCGTGGGTAAGCCAGTCTTCCATGTTGCTTGAAGACTGGGAGAGTGATCAGTTCCTCCTCCATCCTGTGTGAGTGCGAATCTCCGGGGGTCACCATTTGTAGGGTTTATGATTTATTGGTTCACACTCAGGATGGGATGGATAAAGGAAACTCACAATGTGCTCACTGTATACATATTGTATTGGATGTACAATGCAGCTTGTTGCTGGGTAGGTAGCATGGTAATAAGCGTTGAGTAGAGAGAGCTGGGTGGTGAGGGTGCCCAGAGTGAGGGCACGCTGCCAAGGTCGCTGACGGGAGCGGCAGCCGCACGGCGCCAGGAGGAGGAGGTGTTGCTTGCTGGTGGTCACAGCGGTGTTATAAGGCGGGGATAGGCGTGGGTAGATAGTTGACCCCTCTCCGTGGGCGGCGCTGGAGGCGTAGGCTGGGGAATTCGAGAAGGTTCGGTGCTTGTAGGGGAGGAATCCACTACATATGCACATGAAGGGAAGCAGTGGCTTGAATTATGCTTGGAAGCGTAATATTTGAAGCGTTTGTGTAACTATTGAATGTTTTAGTGCCGTACCAGTACACAGCCACATTTATGACCACCCAGTGCCGGATTTAGACCTGTGGAGGCCCATGGGCAGCCTCTTTGTGGAGGCCCCCCTCATTATAACTACCCAGAGGGTAGGGTGGCGAGTGAAGCGAGCCTAAACATCTGGGAGTTCCGGGGGGCGCTGTAAGCCCCCCGGGAAAATTTTGAAATTTGAACACTTCTTTGGAGAATTTTGAAGCCATGATGGAATAGGTAAACATGAATTTTTAAGAATGAAAATAAAAATAATCCAAATGAATAAACAAAAAAATATATATTGTAATATGTGGAGGCCCCCGGATTGTGGAGGCCCCTGGGCAGCTGCCCACTCCTGAATCCGGCCCTGTGACCATCTTATATTTTTATTCAATGGTCACAATATTTGCATATTAAACATGTACCAGGAACAAGTACGATTATTAATACATGTATCGACGAGATGAGTTACAGAGTGGCAACGCTCCTGGTGAGGTTATTCCACAGTGCATTAGCAGCTGTTATCCAATCAAACGCTGCCTAAAGCCAAGAATGCTGGTAATATCATCACAAAAATGTCAGTGCTAGAGTAGCTTCATTGTAATAAGAGTTGTTCAGGTACAGAGTATAAACATCCAACAGTTGCTAAAAATATCTGAAAAAAAAAACAGACTGCCCGCCCGACCAATGAGTAAGCTGACGAGTGGCGAGTAAATTTATTGTCCAACACGCGTTTAAATCTTTAATTATTATTCCTATTTAGTTCATGTTCTCAGTATTTGTGTATTATACAGTGTACATATTGTTGATAAAAATACAAACATTAATGAATAAGAAATAATCAATTCAGTTTTGCTCGCCGTTGTCCAGCGTCTTTAAACCATTGTTTATACATGATCCCTTCAACTGAGGACTGTAGGTCTTGAGCTGGCGGCCTCGTCCGATGTGTAATGACTGTATCATCTTGTAGAACTTCAGCATAAATTTCAGTGTGTTGTCTTTGTTCCAGGGATGGACAGAGGCCAAGCAGAAGATGAGGTAGAAGACTTCAGCGAAGCCGAACAATGGCACACAAGTCCAGAACACCTTCCTCCACTGTGTCAGTGTTTGCTGCCGAGACACAAATGGGATGTCCTCTGACTAACATATAGTTTCCTGCCACTCACAGAGAAACAAATCTTACTGTAAGTAACTACAGATTTACAACACAGAATGGTAAGAACTGTTAACAGAAATAATTGCGACAAATATGGACAAATCTCTCTCCATGTTGACAAATTTTACGTGGCATGAACGTGGGGTCCATAGGCATGACTGCCCGTCTATCATTACTATATATTTCACATAATGTTATTTATTGACACTTTTTTAATATATCATGGATGAACTGGGTGTAGCCACTAGTACAATTAATCCTCTAGGGTCGTAACTCCATCTAGCGCGAAGCCCTGGGTTACACTTCCCCCACTTAAGCCTACCCTCCTTCAGTGCGGCTCTGCCAAGTCATATAAAAAGCGAAGGGGGTAGCACAGTCACCCCCCTGCTCGTGGGTCGCGCAGCAAGAGCAGTCCTCATAGTGCAGGCAGCTCTCGTGGGCTGTTCACGTACAGCCAGGACACACCAGTAAGGTTAGTTCTGTGAGTCCAAAGTATACTAGTCTCAATAATTATTATGGAAGAGATTTAATGTTTTATTTAAATACACACACACACACACACACACACACACATATATATATATATATATATATATATATATATTGATTTAATTCTTAATCAAACTAGCTTCAACAAGAAGTCTTTCCGTGACACGCTAGTTTGATTAAGAATCAAAATCAATAAACCTTAGTGATGGTCAGTTCAAAACTGATAATATGTTGTAAATTATTGTCAGTGCTGTTAAAAATGCTTTGAAAACCTTTTGATCTATGTGTATGATAGTATTTTGTGATCCTTTTTCTGACCTGACTTGTGTAGTCACGTCACCACCCTTCTTAAGCTCTCTACGTGTGTTGGTGTGGGAATTAGTGGATGTCATCATTTTGACCTGACCTCGTTTTAGGTCACCCTGTATATTTAAGCCTCTCTCTCTGTCCATGTAATCCAGTTGCTCTTGAAGATGTCTTGAATAAAGACGAAAGCTAAGGTACTCCGTTGTTTCCATTTTCCCTGTGTAATTTTATCAAGATTTATCTTATCCACGTTTTCATTGTGGATTTACTATATATATATATATATATATGCTGATTAAACTCACGAAGTCTCCCACTGTGTAATACATCTTCAGGTGAGTATAACTAGAGAGAGTAATACAAACTGTGTATATATATATGAGACCACATGGGTCAGGTATTGGGTAATGACCTTACTAATCTTTAAATAACAACAACGGTTGGTGGTCAGGTCAGATGGCTGTAGAGGTGGACTCCTGTCATCGGGGTCCCCAAGAGCTTACAGTGGCTCTATGACCATCTGTCGCGCCTTCTTTCGTCGTCTCGCCTTTCCTCGACTTGCCTTCTGAGAACACGGACGACCTGTTTCTTCTGTTACTGCTCTCCACTTCAGACTCAACACTTCGCCTCCGCCGAGGTCCCACAGCCGTGATAGTCACCACACAAATGGACGAGACGGTACACCTGCTCACCAGGTGGGCTTTCCTGCTCCCCAGGGGGTGATGCTAGTTCACCATCATCACCCCAGAAACTCGTCGTACCAAGGTAAGGTTCGCCACGTACCCTAGATCCCTATCGACGATCTTCGCCCTCTTCTCATAACCACTGGACATGGAGCGCCGCATCAACCGGTCTCAAAACGTCCATCCACGAACTCATCGGCTGGTGGGCCCCTCCGAAGGTGAATGAATCAATTCACCGTCCTTCGACCGATTTATCGGAACCCCGAAAATCTGTGGTCGTTGCATCGTGGAAACACCGCACCTGGGAGTGCACGAGGATGGTCGCCTGCGGTTTCTGTGCAGGTCCTCACGACACAGTGGAATGCAAAAATCAGATATTCTATCAATGCAGTCACCACGCTAATTGCCCACAGTGTCCTCAAGTCTTGATTTCAACCAAACCACTCATTTACCATCTGCCTCTTCCATCCTCACCAAGGATTTCCCATTGATCTCCTCTACCATCCTGTCACCCCTACCACCCATCCTTTCTCCCTCCCTCTCTCTCCCTACTGTTCTTGGAACACATGCCACACAGTCACCACCACCTCCTGCCCACCCGACCTCACCGTCCCTCTTCCGCGTCGCTACCACCACCACATGCCCAGTCGGCCCCGGCAACTCCTGCTGCCACCTCCAGCGCTCCTGTACAGGCACAACAACTCCATTCTCTGACTCCAACAGGTGGGGGCGCACTTTGTGCCCCATTTAATCTGCCTCTCCTGAGATGGAGGATCCATCCCTGCCTCCTGTTCTCCTCCATTTTTCACAGAATCAGGTCTCTGCCTGTCTAGCCCCAATTGACCTTATCTTCAATAATGGAGGCTGTTCTCCTCTTCTTACAATGGAAACATCCAGTGACTTAGACCTTCGCCGGATGGACTTCATTCCAGTCAAAGTTCAAGATGCCTGTGAAACCCATCACGACGATGTTACTCCACCTGGCACGGATTACATTCTGCCTCGGTACTGTGGGCAGGCTCGTGGCCTCTCACCCTTGTGCGTAACACCATTCCATCTGTTCGTCTCCTTCACCTTTGAATTCCCACATATGGACCCCTGTCTGAATTATTTCTGTCTCATTCTCAGTGACTGACCCTTCGTAGTAAATGGTCATTTTGATGATTCTAACTCAGTTCATTAACTCATGGGGGTTCCCACTATTGTTCTGGCGACTTTAATGCCCACCATCCCAATTTCCATCTGGATCATCCCACGCCATGTAAATCATCGGACTATGACTACAGTTTCGTCGTGATGATGTCATTTTGTCCTGACGATCCTACTCGCCTTCCCCCATAGTTTTGATGTTGGCTTACTATTGTTCAACATACCTCCTTTTCATCCTACCGTCTGCACCGAACCTGCTCTGTATAGTGACCATCTTGCTGTTACTACCCATCTCAGGCTCTCCTTCTGCCTTTGAGCTGATCAGCTCCCCATCGATCCCCCCGCTTCGTCTCACACTGACGCTGTTCTTCCTTTACCCAATACCTTCTACCTGGTGATTCTCACGTTGTCCCCCTGTCTCTTTGACTTCATTATTGATTTTGTTGGATGCTGTATGACTCTGTCACGCCACCCTCCACGCCTCCCCACCCCAAAAAGTGCCGCCAACCACGGTATCGCATCCCCGCCACAGACATTCTGCAACCCATGAGCCTCACCACATGAGGCCGGGCTCCTGGAGGACCGGGAAGATCAAAAATTGGTGCTCCTTGGCACCAGGATGTCGTTGATCGTGATGAATTTGAATATCCTTCACGGGCCTCACGTTCCAGTCGTCACCCCCTTATGTATGGAATCGGATTATCGCTATACGGGGGTACTCTCGACGGAGGCCTCCTCCCCCACCCTGACCCCGCCTCCCTGCCTGCTCTTAATGGAGGATCAGCATTGTTTCCTCCCTGAGGCATCGTGATCCAGCACGGTAGTGCAGGCTCGCATCGATGCCTGAGCCTGTTGTCCGTGCAGCTCTTACCTCCCCTGCCCCAACCGATCCCATCACACAAAGTTCGAGCTTGACAGTGCTCGTCGCTCAAGAAAAGACACACCTCCTGGGGATGATCAGATAACCTACCCGTCCTCAACGCCTGGTACTAATATTCCTAACGGCCCCTTGCTTGCTCTCTACAATATGCTTGGCAACATGGGGGTTCTCCCCTGTCCAACTGGAAAAATGACACTATTATCCCCATCCCTAAGCCGGGAGATCCTGGGAAATATCGAATCATTAGTCTTACTCTCCTGTGTTTGCAAGATGATGGAGAGGATACTCCATCGTCGCTCTCTTTCACACCATAGGCGGCCTGCCACTCCTCAATGGTTTCTACAACATCACAGCACAGCACACTCCATTGCTCTTTTTATTGCGGTAATCAGACTGCTCCGCATCTCCGTCTTCTCCTTTGATATCAAGGGAGTTTTCGATACGGCTCAGCCTGCCCTCATTTTAGCTGAACTTAAAAGTGGTTAGGGGTTAAAGGAGACTTCAATGGATCGCCTCTACCTCACTTTCTGTACGTCAGGCCTGGGTTCAGTGCTGACAGCCTTACATTCTGTTCAAGAAAATGAACCTCGGCACCTCAAGGTGGAGTCCCTGAGTCCCACCTTCTTTAACACTCTTCATGCACTCCATTGCATCTCTCTCTGCATGACAGAAGTTGTCCACTCAGGATATGCTGGATTGACAGTTCTCCAAGCCCCTGACTACCTCAGCATGCAGGAAGCCCTGATCTGGTCTCCAAGAGTGTGACTCCACGCGGGTTTCTTCAACTGCGAAAACAAAAGCCATGTGGGCACGGTCGTGGTTGTACCTCCACCCTTTCTTATCAGGAACGCCTTGACTGGGTTAATGAGACAAAATGGCATGTGTATAACTCGCACACGTTGTCAGATCCTGAAGTCTGCTATCTTCGAGACATATGCTGGCGTCTTGCCCTCTCTACCATGTGCAGGGGTTCTTTGGTGCTAACAATTCCTGTACTTCTCACCATGTACAAGTCCTTTGTCCGTTCCCAGTCGACTTACGCCGCCCTGCCCCCTCGTCAACATTAGTCGGACTGCTGTCAACCGTCTCAGTTATCCAGGAGGAGTTACTCGCATCATCCTTAGCTCCTCAGTGGACACGCCTACTTTCTATACCGAACTTGATCTTTCCCCTTTACAGGATCGTAGTCGAGGAGTTTTACCTAAACCGCTGTTTCCATTCTACGGATCTCGGGCAACTATGTCCAAGCCAGCTTGACTCCTGTCCGGAGGCCGACCTCCATCTAGAAGACAGTGGCGAGGGTCACGATCCGAGCCCTTTCAGGATCACGACCTCCTGCCTGATATTGTTGCCACCCCCTGCTGCTGGTTCAGTTCCTTCTCCCTGGCTGGATTTTCAACCTGAAGTATCGCCCTCGGTGGACTGCCAGTTCTAAAATCCCAGGTGAACCCTGTTATTCTCTCTCTGCAACACCACCTCTCCAGGATCGCCCACTGGTCCACAGGTAGGGCTATCGTCCTTCACCTCGATGGTTCTGTTAACCCCTGCTACAGGTAGGGCTGGGCTGGTGTCTATGATCTCTCCCGTCCTGATGCCCTGAGCCTATCAAACTGTCTCTCAGAGTTTCAGACGGGCATCTCACCAGCTGAACTATTCTCCTGCTGCCCTTCTCGCTGAGGAAGAAAGGAGATGGTTTCCCTTGCTTCGAGACGGATCGCATTTGGATCAGGGAAAATAAGACCTCATCCTCCGAATACGAGGGTTAACATCCACACTTCAGGATGCAGAGGTGCTGCCCTGTGGTATTCCTTATTACCCAGTCATGTCGGTATCTTGGGGAATGAGATACCTTTAAGTAAGACTACGCGTCATACACACCTGACTATTGTTCTCGAACACTTTTGGCGCTTAGGACCCACCTGCTGCAAACAGAGAGAAGCTCAGAAGCAGCCATTATCCCCTGACTCCTCTTTGCCCACCTGGTATCACGATGTCCTCTGTAAACTTCCTGACCTCTCTCGTACGTCTATGGAAAGGGTCGCAAGAAAGAGGACGTGATTGCTGCCCGTATCATCATTGGGAATGACTTTGCTTGGGAGATTGTATCCACATCCCCTGAGCAACGCTCTTGTGCATTATGCAGAAGACCCGGAGCAGCACCTTATCCAATACTTCCTAAGATGTCCCTACTACTAATAAACGCCTGTGACGCTCAAGGACCACCACTCCACGACCCCTGACGGAGACACGATGATCCTCCCCATACTGGCCAGATATTTTGTAAATAACATTGATTAGTGTTAGCGAATATCCTTCTCCTTCCTGCATATTTTAGTAAGCCCTTTATAATATTTATTCTGTGATACTTGTCACACTTGCCAGATGTTTATGTCATTGTATAGGTACCTAGTGATGCTGACTAGGATCCTGCTTTTCCTTCTAACAAGGAATAAACAATTGAAATTGAAATTGAACAATATATGTATGTTTTATCAATAGTAAGAGAAACAGTTGAGACCCTGCAATATTGTGTAAATGAGGCAGAAAGTCAGGTCAGCAACCTAGGACTTGGTCAATTTTTCTACTACTTACTACCTTTGACATATTTAATGGACAACAAAACAAACAAAAGAGACGGAAAGTTAATTGTTTTTAGTAGATGATATAAGGTTTCCTGAGAATGGCTGTTATAACTTGTGTTTACAAATAAGTGAGACAACAAAACAGGAGTTGGCAGTGGTAGTTCACTTACAGTAGCGACAATATCATCCCGAAATGTATATAAATCACTGTGTTGTTGGGGAGGGGGGAGGAGGGGAGGGGATCTCTCGTACTCTGCCAAAATAAGCGTTAGGAGGAGGTAGTCAAGGATAATGCCTGTTTGTTAATCTCCACATGATCAAAATTCCTTATTTCATACGATAAAAATATTCAACTCTTGAAATATATTATAGCATAGGTATATAACTTCAATGTTTTTTCTTGTAGTGTTATTTAAGCAACCTCTATTTAACGGACTATATGGAGAGGAAAGTCCGTTATATCGAGGTCATAGATGTGAAACCCTATAACGGATTCTCTGACGATGACAGTCCGTTATATCGAGGTATTAGATGTGAAACCACCGTGTAAGGGATTATACTGAGAAAAGTCCGTTATATGTAGGTTTCACTATAAACTTCTGAAATAAATATTCCAATAAGGACATTTGGTGATACTAATGACGTCATTCTCCTCCAGGGGCGTGAGGGACATACAACAATGGAAAGACTTAATGAGTGTATGGTAGCCACAACGGGTGAGTATTATTAAGGCGTTAAAACAAATTCACCGTAGAATCTCTTTCATCGCTGAGTCTTGTCCTCCCCACCGCTATGTCTTGTCTCCCCACCACTGTCTTGTCTCCCCACCACTGTCTTGTCTCCCACCGCTATGTCTTGTCTCCCCACCACTATGTCTTGTCTCCCCACCGCTATGTCTTGTCTCCCCACCGCTATGTCTTGTCTCCCCACCGCTATGTCTTGTCTCCCCACCACTGTCTTGTCTCCCACCGCTATGTTCTTGCTCCCACCGCTATGTCTTGTCCCCCACCGCTATGTCTTGTCTCCCCACCACTGTCTTGTCTCCCCACCGCTGCCTTGTCTCCCCACCACTGTCTTGTCTCCCACCGCTGTCTTGTCTCCCCCACCGCTGTCTTGCCCCCTCATCACTGTCTTGTCTCCCCATCAATGTCTTATCTCCCCACTGCTGTCTTGCCCCCCAACACTGTCTTGTCTCCCATCACTTTCATTCCTCAACGCTGTCTTGCCCCCCCATCACTGTCTTGTCTGCTCATCACTGTCTTGTCTCCCCACTGCTGTCTTGCCCCCTCATCACTGTCTTGTCTCCCCATCCTTTCTTATCTCCCCCAACGCTGTCTTGCCCTCATCACTGTCTTGTCTCCCCATCACTTTCTTATCTCAACGCTGTCTTGCCTCTCATCACTGTCTTGTCTCCCCACCGCTGTCTCATCTCCTCATCACTTTCTTATCTCCCCAACGCTGTCTTGCCTCCTCATCACTGTCCTTATCTCCCCACCGCTGTCTCTCCTCCCATCACTGTCTTATCTCCCCATATCTTTCTCGTCTCCCCACCGTGTCTTGTCTTCCCATCACTGTTCTTTCTCCCCACCGCTGTCTTCGTCTCCCCATCACTGTCTTATCTCCCCATCACTGTCTTGTGTCCCCATCACCGTCTTATTCTCATCACTGTCTTGTGTCCCCATCACTGTCTTATCTCCCCATCACTGTCTTATTTCCCCACCGGTGTTTTGCTCCCCTCATCACTCTTATCTCCCCATATCTTTCTCGTCCCCCACCGTGTCTGTCTTCCCATCACTGTCTTATCTCCCCATCGCTGTCTTATCTCCCCATCACTGTCTCTTTCCCACCGTGTTTTGTCTCCCCATCACTGTCTTATCTCCCCATCACTGTCTTATCTCCCATCATGTCTTATTCCCAAACCGCTGTCTTGCCTCCCCATCACTATCTTATCTCCCACCACTGTCTTGTCTCCCATCACTGTCTATCTCCCCATCACTGTCTTGTCTCTCATCACTGTTCTTATCTCCCATCACTGTCTTATCTCCCCATCACTGTCTGTCTCCCCACCGCTGTCTGATCTCCCCACCGCTGTCTTGTCTCCTCGTCACTGTCTTATCTCCCCACCGCTGCCTTATCTCCTCATCACTGTCTTATCTCCCGCCGCTGTTTTGTCTCCCCATCACTGTCTTGTCTTATCTCCCGATCACTGTATCTCCCCATCACCTCCTCTCCCCACCACTGTCCACCCATCACTGTCTTATCTCCCCATCACTGTCTTGTCTCCCCTTCACTGTCTTATCTCCCATCACTGTCTATCTCCCCATCACTGTCTTGTCTCTCCATAACTGTCTTATCTCCCACCGCTGTTTTGCCTCCTCATCACTGTCTTATCTCCCCCACCGCTGTATTATTCTGCCCATCATTGTCTCGTCTCCCCACCGTGTCTTGTCTCCACCGCTGTCTTGTCTCCTCATCACTGTCTTGTCTCCCCACCGCTGCCATGCCTCATCACTGTCTTGTCTCTCATCACTGTCTTATCTCCCCACCGCTGTTTTGCTTCCTCATCACTGTCTTATCTCCCCATCACTGTCTCGTCTCCTGACCGTGTCTTGTCCCCATCACTGTCTTATCTCCCCCACCGCTGTTTTGCCTCCAGATCACTGTCTTATCTCCCCATCACTGTCTTATCTCCCCACTGCTGTCTTATCTCCCCATCACTGTATCGTCTCCCCATCACTGTCTTGTCTTCCCACCGCTGTCTTGTCTCCCCATCACTGTCCTCCCCACCGCTGTTTTGCCTCCAGATCACTGTCTTATCTCCCATCACTGTCTTATCTCCCACCGCTGTCTTATCTCCCCATCACTGTATCGTCTCCCCATCAGTTCTGTCTTCCCACCGCTGTCTTGTCTCCCCATCACTGTCTTATCTCCCCATCTCTGTCTTGCCTCCCTCATCACTGTCTTATCTCCCCATCATCGGTCTTATCTCCCCACTGCTGTCTTGTCTCTCCATCACTGTTTCATCTCCCCACCGCTGTCTTGTCTCCCATCACTGTCTTATCTCCCCCACTGTCTTGCCTCCCCATCACTCTCTTATCTCCCCATCACTGTCTTATCTCCACATCACTGTCTTGTCTCCCTGCTGTCATATCTCCTCATCACTGTTTTATCTCCCCACCGCTGTCTTGTCTCCCCATCACTGTCTTATCTCCCCACCGCTGTCTTGCCTCCCCATCACTCTCTTATCTCCCCATCACTGTCTTATCTCCACATCACTGTCTTGTCTCCCCACTGCTGTCATATCTCCTCATCACTGTTTTATCTCCCCACCGCTGTCTTGTCTCCCCATCACTGTCCTATCTCCCCACCACTGTCTTATCTCCTCATCACTGTCTTATCTCCCACTGCTGTCTTGCTCTCCCCATCACTGTCTTATCTCCCATCACTGTCTTATCTCCCATCACTGTCTCTTCTCCCCACCGCTGTCTTGTCTCCCATCACTGTCTTATCCCACTGCTCAGTTCCCCACCGCTGCCTTGCCTCCTCATCACTGTCTTGTCTCCTCATCACTGTCTTGCCTCCCCATCACTGTCTTATCTCCCTATCACTGTCTCTTTCTCCCCAACGCTGTCTTGTCTCCTCATCACTGTCTTATCTCCCCACCGCTGTCTTGCCTCCCATCACTGTCTTATCTCCCCTATCACTGTCTTTCTCCCCACCGTCTTGTCTCCTCATCACTGTCTTATCTCCTCATCACTGTTTTATCTCCCACCGCTCTTGTCTCCCCATCACTGTCTTATCTCCCCATCACTGTCTTGTCTCCTCATCGCTGCCTTATCTCCACCGCTGTCTTGCTCCCATCACTGTCTTATCTCCCCATCACTGTCTTATCTCCCCATCACTGTCTTATCTCCCCATCACTGTCTTATCTCCCCATCACTTTATCTCCCCATCACTCTCTTATCTCCCCCACTTTTTTGCATCCTCATCACTGTCTTATCTCCCCACTGCTGTCATCTCCCCATCACTGTCTCGTCTCCCCACCTTGTCTTGTCTTCCCCACCACTGTCTTATCTCCCCATCACTGTCTCGTCTCCCCACCGTGTCTTGTCTTCCCACCGCTGTCTTATCTCCTCATCACTGTTTTATCTCCCCACCGCTTCTCTTGTCTCCCCATCACTGTTTTATCTCCCCATCACTGTCTTGTCTCCCCACTGCTCCTTTGCCTCCTCATCACTGTCTTGTCTCCTCATCACGGTCTTATCTCCCCACCGCTGTCTTGCCTCCCCATCAGTCTTATCTCCTCATCACTGTCTTATCTCCCCATCACTGTCTTATCTCCCCATCACAGTCTTGTCTCCACATCACTGTCTTATCTCCCCACCGTTGTTTTGCATCCTCATCACTATCTTATCTCCCCATCACTGTCTTATCTCCCCATCACTGTCTCGTCTCCCAACCGTGCCTTGTCTTCCTATCACTGTCTTATCTCCCACCGCTGTCTTATATCCCCATCACTGTCTCTCTCCCCATCGTGTTTTTTCTCCCCATCACTGTCTTATCTCCCCATCACTGTCTTATCTCCCCATCACTGTCTTGTCTCCCCATCACTGTCTTATCTCCCCACCACTGTTTTGCATCCTCATCACTGTCTTATCTCCCCACGGCTGTCTTATCTCCCCATCACTGTCTCGTCTCCCCACCTTGTTTTGTCTTCCCATAGCTGTCTTATCTCCCCAACACTGTCTCTGCTCTCCCCACCTTGTCTTGTCTTCCCACCGCTGTCTTATCTCCCCAACACTGTCTCGTCTCCCCACCTTGTTTTGTCTTCCCACAGCTGTCTTATCTCCCAACACTGTGTCTCTCGTCTCCCACCTTGTCTTGTCTTCCCACCGCTGTCTTATCTCCCCATGAAAACGGACTACTAAACCCTAGACAACACGGATTCACTGAAAGAAAGGGAACACATACTGCACTAGCCATAATCACGGAAACGTTAGCCAACAAGAAAGCAGAAAGAAATCAAGTCAACATTGTATTAAGAGACGTTAAGAAGCCGTTCGATAAAGTATGGCACCTTGGATTAAAATTTAAGCTGCTTCAAATAAATCTTCCAGATCCACTAGAAAAAAATCGTCTGTGACTTCCTAGAGACCTAGACGATCGCACGGCACAAATACAAATCGGCAGCTATATAGGACCACCCATAGAACTGAAAAAAGGAGTACCCCAAGGTAGTGTCCTTTCACCCACGCTGTACAATATCTATACAGCAGACCTACCAAAACCAGCTCCCTACAGTGAATAAATAAGTTTTGCAGACGATATCACACAAATCATCACATATCCTGGCAAATCAACAGCAATAATGGCACAGTTTACTGCGAACGTAATAGAGAAAATCAACTAATACGAAAAAAATGGAAGATACAAACCAACACCAACAAGTTCAAAATAATACCAATCGCTAAAAGGAAAAAGACTCCATTATAGTAGACAATAAAGTAATTCCATATGTCATGGAAGGCACTGTCACGTGCCTGTGGCGCTCGGGAACTCGCATAGCGTGAGGCATATGTTCACGCCTACATTTCATACAAGCTATTAATAAATTGTTAATTGTACTTATTATATTATTATTGTTCTTAGTTACTTAGGTTAATTGTATATTTATGTATGTCATTAATATGCATCATTGTCTTACTCTGTTAAGTCAACTCAATAGTAGTATTAATTAATTATATAAAATATCTAGCAAATGTTCTAGATCACGTGATATGAGACGCGCTCCTCGGCGGCATGCCCACGCCTCCCCAGTAGCGAAAAACCGTGGCATAGGGTAGACGTGTCCATTCGTTCTCTAGCCTTGACCCTTGTCTAGTGCCTTGTCCAGTCCTCTGCAATGCCCTAGGGGTATCAGGTATTAGTGACACGTTTAGTTAGGCCTAGGAAGGGATCCTGGTGGTAAGGAATCTCCTGTTTGGTAGGAAATAATCATTTTGTAGTGATTGTTGTATATATATATATATTTCGTATGTCTGTGTAATATAGTAATGTTAAGTAATATTTGTTTGGTCTAACTCCTTAACGGTGTATTTTCGCCCTTCCGGCATCACTCTTATTTTATTTTACAATTACTTATTCCCTTAAATTCTTGTTTGCTAGTCATTACTCCCTTTAGAACATAAATTGAATTAATTAATTATCTTCCCTTTTGTGATTCACTTATTTCAACTGTTCTTACTTATTCAAGTACATTTAGTTGAGTAGGTTTTTGGTGAGGATAATTATTGCCGTGTTCCCTATTTGTTCCTTTATTTGTTAATAACTTGGGGTAGGATTCACTCCCCAAGTATAAAGGGTAGTGGGATCGCGACAGGCACCGTCCTAGGGCTGCAGATAACAACAAAAGGCTACAAAACATTCATTACCGAAAAACTAGCAAAAATCAGAAACGTAGTAATTAAATTAAAACGCTTCAGAAACCTGTCAGCAAAAAAACAAGTAAAAGTTATATAGAGCCTATGTCCAATCCCTACTTGTATATCCACCAATTCCCCTACATGCAATAAAACAAAAAACATAAAGAAACTGCAGACAATTCAAAACTTAGCCCAAGGGATGTTTATAACGTCAGATATCCTGACATAGTCACCAACTGTCAACTACAATACGAGCGTAAATAGAACCCCTAAAAGTTTACCTACACCAACACTCAAAAAGAATATGGACAAGGTTAGAATATATAGAGACAGGACCAATCACAGAATGGATGGAAGAGATAGAAGAAGGAAGAAGAGAACACTCGTGGTTCCTCCACAGTAAAAGAAGAGCTCTCGAACCCACACCAACAGTAAAACGCCTTTGGGTTTGACTTTACCTCGCTTGTAACCAGCCTCTGGAACTCCTTTTCAGTCCTTCTACACTCTATCTTTGCTTGGTTTCTGGCTCTTGCATACATCCTCCTGTCCTGCTT